GGGGGGGCGAGTAGTGGTGGTACAGATGAAGTCAGGTGAGGGAAAGAAGAAAAATGGCAACCCCCTGGGGAGCGGAAATTTGTAGGCGAGCTGACGGGGCACACCTACCACGCCTCCCTTGGGGTTGTACAAAGATCACCACGAAAAAATAAGGCGAGTACGTAGATAACTTGTATGGTAGCTACGACAGGAGAAGGGGCAGAGGCGCGGCAGAACCTGAGCGACGCTTGCCAGCCAGCCCATACCTGATGCGGCGCGGAGTAAGGGGGGTAAGGGGGGAGTAAAGCGCACACTCGCCCTTCCCTCGTTGTCGTATTGTAGGTGGTGTGTTTTGTCCTCCTGGAAGTGAAAATCTTCGATGGAATTCGAGACGGCATCGACGATCTCTGTTTTGTTGTTTTCCGTGTAATGTATGCGTAGTTTCGGTGGTCTCGAAAAGAGGCGTTATCACTGGGGGAATGAAGCAGCGAAGAACGAGGTGTGCGGTACCAAGCGCGTGGTGTGGATCGGAGTGCGGGATAACTAGGCCAACGAATATGTTCGACGCTTGGGTAGAAGGGATAACGATTGGACGTTGCAAACCGTGATGACGGTGAGGCCAACCGGTCGGTGCGGCCCAGCGAGCGGCAGCTCCGCGCTGGGGGCTGGTAAGGGTAGTAGGGTATAAAAGTGTAAGTTGTCATTTCATGGGCACATTGCATTCGTGACCTTGGTGTAGAGCTGTATCGTTAGTACAGGCAGGCTGCTCCTCCTTGGCGCGCGATTTTTTTTATGTTATCTGTGTTTCAGCAAACGCGCCCACCATGAGTATGATTGGGAGACATGAACCACGTGGGGAGTCTTTAGACTCGGCATTTCTTGTTTCCGAGACATGACTTTGCGTGGAGAGTGTGTGTGGCAAGGGACAGCGGTTGTGCTGTCGGGTGTTTCGCATTCTGTTGTATTCATGGTGAACCGTGTTTTTTGGGGCCTTCATGCATGGCGTGAGATTCCGCAAGTTAGGGTGGTATCTGGCCGGTACATGTCATTTGCAAGGGGGCAGAGCCAATTAAGTAGGGAGTCGTCCAGCTGGCGCGCCACTCCCTGCAACATTTTAATCGCAACATCTCTCGGGTTTGTTGCACGCGGCGTTTGCTTCTCTGCTGTTGTTGTACCTTCGTACGCGATATCACCTTCCAATTGGAAGAGAAAGATCACCAGGTTGATGAGGTTCACAGCAGTGGAGCGCTTGCGTTTTTTTATTGTCTTGCGACGATTGAGTGGCAGTTGGAGTGCTTTTGGCTACTGGTGTAATATATATGCACCTGCGCGAGGAATTAAATTATGTTCATGGGCACTGCACCTGATCAAGGTGGGCAAACCTTCGCCATGGCTTTCAGTACCATCCGTCTGTCCGGGGCACTGCAATGACCTTGTTGACTCTCGAGAGGGGATTGCATTTCTTTCGTCGGTTCCAACAATCCAGGAAATCATGCTGATAACTCGAGGGGTACAAGCAATGATGTGCTGTGCGGAATGTGCTCCGAATAACTTGTGCGGGGTTGACAATTGTTTTACCTCCAGGGGCACTCTGACGCGTGATGGGGCTGAAGCTAGTCAATCCCCCCCCCGACTTGCCTCTCCCTCGAGGGGCGCCAATCCATTGAAACGAACACCCTCGGCCGATATCGAAGGCAGCACACCACAGAAGAAATGTTCCCACAAGGATTCATACAACAGGCAAGGCACGCCCAAGGAAAACTACCACCACCCTGACACTTGTCTCCAACGTACGTATTGTGTTCCATATATGTACTGTACATGATTACCCTCCCTGAACGTTCAAGAGCAGAGACCGTACAACGTATGCTATTTTTTGTTCACAGAAGACTGGTCGTATCGACCACCCCACCCACAAGGACACCGTGCAGTGGCGCAGAGGGTAGCCCGCAACGAGCTAGCTAGCTTCTACGCACGCCACGTGGCGAGTCGACAAGACACAGTTTCGGAACGATAGGTACATGTAGTCCTTCCTACCCTTGGCACAAGAAGAAACACGGACGACACTCCACGAACTACGAGTAGTGCCTCATCAACGAACGCCTACTCCATCAACGAAACTCCATAGGGGCGCCACATAACCTCTCCCTACTACTGTAGCACAGCAGGCATGTTCAATATCTCATTTTAAGACAGATATGAATGCGTAACCAGTGAAACTCTCCCCCCCCCGCCCGTGCCAGGACAAGGCCGTAAGACGAACAACAAGCTCTTGTGCAAAAACGGCAGAGGCAGAGAGAACGCCTTTAGGAAGGGGGCTGTGAGCGTAAGGACGGTGATGCTTCGCTCCGTCTGAAAAGGAACGAGAGATGCACGCATCGCCGATGATGGCGCATCGTGGATGGTCACACAACCTTGGCAGGCATGAGAGCACTCGCCCCCGCGCCGTAGTAAACAATCTGCCCCCTCCCGACGAGCCAACTGCAGCTAGCTATCACAATTATGCAGGGGAATACACGTGCGCGTGTGCCGCCAACTCAAAACAACAAACTCCCAAGGCCATGAGAAAAAGGCCGCCGTTTTCTTCTCTTCCCCGGCGCTATAACAAGAGCCTTCGTATCATACTACTTCAATCTCTCAACCTTTCCATCCTCGCTTCTTGTGTTTGCTACATGTTGAGTATCTGGCCCATCATCCTCTGCGCCTGGCCAAGGTACCCCCCGCCAAACAAGACGTGGTGGTTCAAGATGTGGTAGACGTTGTACACCACCTGCCTCTCCTGGTGGCCCTCTGGTAACGGCCACTCCTTCTCGTACCTGCGTATGTATGGATTGTGCATGGATGGCATGGATGGCGAAGGTAACGCCCACCGCCGTCCGCAACACCATCGTTATCGCAATCATCGTCGTTGTCACCACAATCAACCATCGACGACCACCGTCATCAAGATCGTCACCGTGTCAACACCGTCGTCATCGCCTTTCAGCCGGCAGCCGAACACCGATTGGTTCCCGGCGTCGTCTTGGATGTTTTTCTGTTGTCCGTGTACTCTGACGTTCGGTTCTCGGTTGGAGTTGGTGTGCGTCTTGGCCTCGACAAAATACAGGCACGAGAAGCGCATTCATTGAACGAACATGTGTGCATTGAAAACGCAACAAACAAGGGCGGGCAGAAAAGTGCGTGGTACACATGAAAACATTGTCGTACAGTATGCTCATGTGGGAGACCGTCCTAACTGTGTTGTCCCACAACGACAACGCTCACCCTCGGTAAAACGCAGGTGGAAACCCGCCGAACACATGGGTCATCCCGAGGTCCACTTCTCGATCCCCGTAGTAGGTCGCCGGGTCAAATATTACCTGAGCGCGGAGAGGAACGATGGGTTTCAGTTGCCGCACCATGCGGCATCGTTGGAGGGCCACTGAGAGTATACATATACACCCGGTGCCTAGCGGGGAGGGTAGCACCAGGAACAGTAAAGTGTGATGTAAAGTAGGTTAACAGCCTCGAGGCGGTGGTGATGGCGGTGTGATTGTAGTTTCTTGGCCGGGGGACTAATAATTTTTCTGTTGTACAGCAGCACTGTCATCGGGTTAGCGATGGCTGCAGGTGCGCTGCGATGCAGCCATCGTTGACCCGATAGTAAGAGTTGCTGTTCAACGGCAACTTTATAGTTCGCCGGGTCACAAAACTATAATTGCATCACCATTACCACTACTGAAAGGCTGGCTACATACATACATACGTGGCCGTTGCTGTTGGCACCTTACACACAACGGGTGTCATTGCAGTCTCCAGCAAGGCTACTTGTTGTCGAGAGTCAACCGCAACAGCCACGTGTATGTCTGCCAGCCTCGAGGCGGTGATGATGGCATTCTAACTGTACTTGGCTGGACAGGGGACTATCAATTTGCCCTTGGACAGCAACACCATCATCGGGTTAGCGATGGCTGCAAGCGCGTTGCGATGCAGCCATCGTTGACCCGATAAATAAGCGTTGCTGTTAACAGAAACTTTGCAGTCCCCGGCCAAAAAACTGAAATTACAGCGCCATTGCCACTACTGAAAGGCTGGCAACATGCATACGTGGCCGTTGCTGTTGGCACCTTGGTGCAACAACAACAACAGTTACGCTTCCTCTTGAATACCGAAGCATCATATCACCAAAACCTCCTCGAGACCGGCAAAAATACGCGGCCGTTGCTGTTGGCACCTTGACCAATACAACAACAATCTGCGTCGCTTTTCTTTGCAATCGAAGCGTAACGTTACCGGATCGTTTTCTGGCGCCACAAACCCTTGGTTGCCTCCCCACAGGTCTCCATGAACCAGACACGGCTGCACCTCGTGCTTCGCCAAGATGGATCTCGTCTGAAAGCGATCGGGGCGAGCGTGCAAGGATAACGTGGGGGCGGGCGGGCGGAAGGGAAACGCCTGTCAAGAGCTGTTGTAAAAAAACATGTATGGTCGTAGTGCTCAGCCGTCCCATGCTTCGTGCCGAATGAGATGGCGTCTGGACACGACCACGTTGCTGCGGTCCCGCAGCCAATGAGAACTACCTACCTTCTCCGCTCGCTGCTGCAAGCTGGTTTGACGCATGAGCCTTGAGACGCATATCGGGGGCACAGGTGAACGAAAATCAATGTCTGGAGAAGCGGTGCCTCTGCTGCTCGCCGTCTGTGCTGGCTGTCTCTTAATGACTACCTCCTCCACGATAAGCTGTGGTTATATACTGTATCTCGAACGGGTAGTATTTCTTTTTGGTGGTACATGTATGTTTGTACGCTAAACAAAACGGGTCTAAATCAACTCTAACAAGCCAGTATCCGGTCGGTTTGTCCCTCCATTCACTAGCTGTGAAGACTTCTAATCAGCCCCTTCGACTACGGTGGTTACATATTCGAACCAGTAGTCATCTTTGATTGTATGCTGTATGTATATTCTACAAAAAACTCGTTTCGCGAGCGGGGTCCAAAAATATTACGACGGTTGGTGATGGTGCATCAGCGTTAGGCGTGCTCTTTCGGCACGAACCAGTACTGTAGGTTGAGGATAATTGCCACGTGTCTACGATGCTTTGCTTACCCTGTCCATGGCGGCGGATCAAAGCACGCAATTCTTCTGTGTTACAGCTGCGGACGAGCAAACACTGTCCCACAGCTGTGGAGGAGCGGACATACCTAGACACCGGCGAAATGATGACCGCCGAAGCGATTCGTCCAACAACGCGCGCATGTGTCTTGGTCGGCGCATCCTCATTGTCACACCGCTTTAACGCACGGTGTACGACCGTGTGTTTGTACAGCACCGTCGTACCATTCTATGATACAACAGACCCACAGCGTAGGGCTGTTGCCGACATTGCACCGGATACATCTACGACTGACCGAGTGTGACTATCCGGAAGAGAAGAGAGCTACTCCTACGACATAAAACCCTGCTTCGAGCGCAGCCCCTTCCGAATCCACAACTAAAACCTATGTTCACGAGAAAGCGAAACAAGTGCCAGCCCAAGACGCCCCTCGCCCACCCCCTCCCTCCCCGCCCCCCAAAACCCCGTGCCCCCCACCCCTCCCACGTGCGCACACCTTCACCCCTACCACCTACACTTGAATACAACCACGACCTACCTTTTCGACGACCTTGTCCACGTTCTGAAAAACGCCCCCTTCCCGCTCGCTCAGACGGATCATGTGGAGAAGCCTCCTCTCCACCCAAAAGTCTGCCCAAGAATCCATCCAGCCGTTCGGCTGCGCGGTAGCTGAGATGAAACGTGGTTCCGCGTGGGGGGATATGAGTGATTTTAAGTGAGGTAGCATCGACCGCGTAAACTGGTGGACCAATCAAAAGGCGTCAGTCTCGGCGGGAAAAAAAGCAAGTAAAGCGCTGCGCATGGTATGCATGAGTAGGTGCGGAAGTGGGCGGGGGTACTACTTATCATGCATGACCACGGCCCTGGGGTGTGCATCGGTGGGGGGGGGGGGCAGCACAGCAAGAGTACGGCGTTCCGAGACGGACAAAACAGCCCCACGAACGACAAAAGTTGGAGCCGCTGTCATCAATTTTCACTCAAAATCGAACATCTCGCCGTGATGCCTTCGTGAGAGGAGAGGCAGGGTGGGAGGAGCAAACACACGCAGAAAAAGAAAAAACAGTTACGTACACGCTTCGTTGTAGGAAGCCCCCCCCGCGCCGGTCGGAAAAACTTTCGAGCCCTCGCCCGTCCTATGATGCGCGCTGCTGCCTCATGTCAACTGCTGTGTGTATCTCGTAACCTTTTTGGAAGGGCTGTTGTTGCAAACACCACGCCCCATACCAGACATCGACGAGTCCTCCATCACCGTAGCCACCCCACTGTCGTACAGCATTTGCTGATACGTTTCGCTTGCGCACTTTTTTTCTGGAGGGCTGGTTGGGACATGAGTTCTGACCCCGATCCAACTGGCGAGGTGTGATTTTCTGACACCGGACGGTGTGTTTCGTGAGTGGCCTCGAAGGAGGGAAGCAAGGAGAGTGCTTTGCTGACTCCTCTCTCGCTCCAAGAGTTACAAGGCAACCACCACAAAGAAGAGACGAATTCTAGAGTCTTGGGCAAGGAGGACAGATCCTTGTGAGTCACCCGTTGCCGGGTGTGGCAACAGATCGTCAAGTGTCGGTTCTTACGTGTAGGCACATCGAGTGACGGCAGTAGCAGCAGCAGCAAGAAGATGGGATTTCGGACAGAGAAACAAAACTACGCACCTCCGATTGTGTTGTCCACGTGGAAGCCGTACTTGCCGTTTGGACTGAGGCTACGGTGCATCTGCGCCAGCTGCGCGCCCATGAGCTCCGCTCTCTCCGCGGAAGCCCTACCACCCATGTTCAGGTGCTCGAAGATTGCGAAGCAGCCTATCAGGCGTTGGGGGAGGGGGCGGGGGGGGGGGGGGGGGG